GATCACGTGGAAAGAGAATTCCGTGGCGGTAGACAGTGTCACAAACCTCCAGTTCATTGAATCAGATGCATTTTCGAGGGACTTAGCCTCTTATTGAATGATCGATGACCGAGATTATTGTTTCCCTCGATGAAACGCAGACGGTTCACGAATATTCTTAGGTGAAACGCGTGTGGTTCAGTTACCTCGTCATCTTGCAGAAATCGCCATAGTCGTGCGTTGCAGTTGTTAGTTGCCTTTCGTGTACCCAGTGGTTCTCACTCGATAGACCGTCACTTTGTTTTATTATACGCGACGATGCACCAGAGCTTGAACGATTCCGTCTCTTTAGTAGCTGTCACGGGGATCGTGATAATTGATAGTCGTTCGGTGACTAATTCTGGCTATCTGTTTGTTGGCCGGCTGCCTTGCAGAGCCGTCCACGACGCGAAACACTCGCGGACGAGACGAAGTTTACGTTCTGCACGAGCCCCGAGAGGATTTTGCAACCGAGCTGTGTGCACTCTCTCTCGTTTGCCATTGTGTTTCCAAAAGGTTCTTCTGTATCACAACTCCTCGACTTTCCCTCCGTGTATCGTTAACAAAGGAGTATGTTCTTAGAGAAAATTCCCAGCCTCTCGGTGCAACGGGAATATCCTTCTAGCGGGGTTTAACTGGAAAGGTTGAAGAGTACGTATCGGTGAACGGCATCAAGGTCGACGTAATTAAGAGCAACAACCACCGAATCACGGACAGGTCGCGATCACCAAAGCTCCGAATACTATTTAACGTCTCTTTGATTAAAAAAAAATAGTTCCTATACATTAAACACGCAGTATTAATTAATAATCAATTAAAATCTGTGAGTAATTCCATTGTCCCTAAAACTGTCACCTCAAAAGTAAATATAATTCTTAGGTATATGCTTTTAACAATTTATTTTGTACTATACACATAGATTGAATAAGAAAATTACAGCTCTTTCTTTAAATACGATTTCACCATCACTTTTTACTTTTACGTAGTTCCGTTTTTGACGTTCAAATTGCGCTTTCATTTTTCAATCATAATTTTTAATACCATTCCTTGTGTTCATGTAAATCAGAGTCTCAATTCGATAATCAAATTTTCTGTACACAATTCCTTGTATGATACATTTTTATTAAGTAAAACAAATAAAATGGCAGTAATTGGTATATTTACCCTATACAGAGCTTTTTCAAATCGAATCAGCATTAAACGGGGTCTTACTGTAATTCTTTTGAACGCTGGGCCTGTTTATTCCACGCTCTCGGCGGATAACACCGAGGCGCCATCGAGCCGTGTGGTGTTTTCCCAGCTGGACCCAGCAGCCTGTGCATTCGCCACCATGCATCGCTGTGTTTGAGCCAGAAGAGCGCATCGCCCTTTCCCTCAGCCTCCCGCGACGTCCGCCGCCATATGCTTCTCTCTCTATCTCTCGATGCCTTCGACGACCTCCGGCTTTAATTCCTCCCCGAGTTCCCCCGTCGATCCCTTCTTGGCTCTACCGAAGGTCCCGAGAATCGAACGAGTTGTTCCCCTCCCCCGTCAGAAATGAACTCCGAGAGACTGCGGAGCAAAGACTTCGGTTGCGAGTGTCGTGCGACAAATTAATTAATATTAATACCAGAGGGGGGCAACAGCCTGTTTCGCCATCGGTCGACATAGAGTAGCCCCTCGATTCTGGCACGATCCACTGAAGGAATCACGCCTGTCTTTCTCTCTGGCCAGCTGTTTACTGGATTTAGAGCAACTAATTATACTGCGAAAACTCAGAGTCAGTCGACGGGCACGCCCGCCCCGCTAACAAGATTCTAACGGCCGGATTATCGGGTGTTCCAGACTATCGGACGACGCGATTAGAAGCGGTATAAATCGAACTTTTTTGTCGCCGTTGTTCGGATCGCCTTAAAGTCGCGTCCTTGCTGCAGCTGCACAACGTTTTATCGTTTCTAGGAGCAGGATGATAAATAAACCCTTATGAGTTCGATGATCTCGAAATCTAATCGACGGATTAAACTCCAGGATCTTGGAGATTATTTCACCAAACACGTTTTATGCAGAGGTTTCCTCTTAACCTTCAAGGACACTGGCGTCGTATTCCGCACGCCATCGGTACGAAGGAATCTTCTATTTGCCTTAATTTTTAAAAAAAAGTCTGGGTTGGGTGATTAACCTATTTATACAATTATGATTCTTTCCTAAGTAATTGGTGTCTAATCGAGTATCGAGTTGCCTATAAATTGAAGTAAGCCAAAATTTCGTCCAAGAGACAATAGATTTAAGCAGTGTAACAGTGGCGAGTAATCATAATTAACTATAAAGTACGGTATCACTACTAGTAAAGTAGAATATTATGAAATTAAAAGCTAACGAAAAAGCCTGCTACCACCTTTTAAAGTTACGAAAAAACTCTATTCACGGTTCGTGTCCTTAAGGGTTAATCCTTTACCACCGTATCACTCTCCCTCGAAGGACTTCGAGAGCCGAGGGTTGAAGTTTTTGCGCATGACACGCGAGTACGATCACCCTCGTGGAGCCCCACAAGCTCTCTCTCCCTTGGCACCACACACGGACACCCCTTAGCGACAAACACGGGACATTTGTACGCGTGCGTGCGTGTGTCGGCTTATGCCGCCGCGCAGTTCTTTATTCAAATTCCTCGTCGGTCTCTCGTGCCTGTCGCGCGCCCTCGGTCTCTTTGAAAAGAAAAACTCGGCCTAATCGTGAAATCAAGAGCCACAGACTTTTGAGCCTGAGCGCCTTGGCCTGATCGTGTGTGTGTCCTTCAATCCGTGGGTCCACGTGTATCGGACGTAAATCGCATTTCTTCTACGTTTCGAAGGGCTTTACGATGCCTCAGTCGGTGTCTTCAGTGTGGTCTAAACGGTTGTCGTTTCAGGGTCTTGAGTAATTTTTAGAGTTTCGCATAAAAATCGGGGAAATCTCGGGGACGTTTAGGTGTAGAAGTGCTGTTTTGGACACTTGGTGATGTAGAAATTCGTAGACTTACATCTTCGAATGTTCTTCCATCGATTTTAGTATTGTGTAAATTATTGATCAAACGATAGGAATTCGAAGTGATCTATGAATTGGTTTTGGGATTGAGGGACTTATTGAATGAGGGGCACATGTCAGAATACTATACATTCAACTACTTTGAGGAAAAATAAGGTTAGAGTTTGTTAATGGTACAAAGAATTAAAGTAGATGTGACAGGTGCTGCTTTTCTACTAAGTCCCTCGATAAACTAGTTGATTTATTCGGAGGTATAGCTCTCTAATCGGTCAGAAGTTGCCCTCAGAACGTCACGAATTCTTCACTGGTACGATCAGAGTTACATTTCCCGGTGGAATTCTCACAGTTTCCGTTCAGAGCAACACACGGAGTTCTGTGTTCGTTGGACCGAACATTGAAACCGCCTCGGAGGAAAGCGGCGTGGAGGAAGCCAATCCGGTTCGTCGCTTTCGCCGCATATGGCGGCGGGCAAAGTTATAAATAATGCCCATCGCCCTCCTGCGTATTCACCTTTACATAATGACCGGCAGAAGACGACAGACGAATTCTCGGCTCGGATGTCAGGTGAAAAGAAATGTGAAAAAAAACCCTTTGAAACCGAGCAAAGACCACTTCTAACCAATCGAAGTCGAAATCTTGCTACCGTGTACGACTTGTAATTTTCAACATGTATGAATTTTCGATCGTTCAGGGGGACATTCGTGTTTTTAAAGTGGTGTACTTTAGCTTGATGAGTAATTGAGAATTCTACTGAAACAGAGAAAGTAGACTTGGCTGTAGAAAGAGTAATAGAAGGGACAACAAATGGGAGAATAACAGGATGGATATAATTACCTCCAAATTACCCTGCATAAATTATAAGTATATTGTAGCTTCGTATCTCAATTAAAATCAGAACATCCGATCCGAGAAGTCTTCCCGTTTCAGGATTTTACTTTCCAAACATTGACTCTTCTAATCCAAGAAGATTTACACGATTTTTTTTTATGAAAAACTGACACACGATCTTGACATAGACTGTCGCGACAAGCATTTTAAGAAGCTTCGCGTAGCCTCGATCAGCGTAAAAGCTGTTCATTTTTCACGCAGGCTTGTCTCCTCGGATATTTATCGTTCCTCAAGACACCACGGAGATCTTTTGTTAATTCGTTTGTGAGATGAACCACACAGTTGTGCGTTGAGGCCAGTTGAAAAACATTGATCGTACGATGAACGTGGACAGAGAACGATTACGGTGACGTGTGTTTCGTCTAAAAAGGGCCGAGTCGGGAAGCAAAGTTCGTTCTCCTGATAAAGACATCGCGAGAGGACGACGACGACGTAGCGGCCGAGCATGATTCGTCGTGCGCTGGAGATCGACGATAGCGGAGGTCGAATCGTTCCAGTTTTCTTTCCCCCGAGACCAGGTCTCGAAAATGTCGGCGATCCTGTTACAGTGCGTTGGAAATTGCTTCCACAGAAGGAGAATGCGCGCAGGTTCGTGATCTGATGGTTCCCAACCTAGCGGCAGACTTATTTCTAGATCCCGACTTTTCACCTTTTATAAACCGAGAGAGCGAGAGAGAGAAAGAGATCTCTTTACCGATGGGGATCGTGTTCCCTGACATTCGAAGAAACCTAAGACAATGTAATGTACTCAATCCTTTATCGATTTAAACAACCAAACATGCGCCACATTGAACCTTAACCGATCCGTCAGTCAACTATGTCATCTTTTCTTATTCTTGCCCTATTTTGCCATCCCTTTCTCTAGCCACCAAAAATCCTTTAAGACCTCCATATTTTCGCGAACATGCTCTCAGTCTAACAAATCTCTTAGACAGAGTCCAGATCTATCTACCTTGTAACACTTGCTTTAGGAACCTTACATTAAAATCTTAGTTAATAAAGATTTTTTTGGACGATAATTCATTTTTCTCATGTCCATCACAATAGACCCAAAGTTTCGTTTGCTAACGGTGATCGAATGTTATCTGTTACAGGTATGCACTGCCTAGGTGCGGTGATTGGAGGCATTCCCAGCCCAAATGGGGTTGGTGGTCGGGGTGGCATTCTTAGCGTGTTCCGAGCCCTTGGAGTCCTTGTGTGCGAGGGGAGGATTCAGGGCCCTCCACGTGGTTACAAAGAGGGCCCGCACTGCGCGGCGCCCATGCAGGCGATTTCCAAAGACCATGCGTGCGAGCAAGATAATTACTTGGTAAATTATGATCTATTCTCAAAACATTTCAGACGTTTAGACTCTTATAGACGATACGATCAGTCATACGACAAATCGTATCGTCTATGAGGCGATTTAGGGAACAGATTTAAATCTATACACGAGGAAAAACAAAATACATAAACCATACAGCCAAACGCGTGACTAAACGCAGATATTCTGTTTTATTTTCTGTTCAGTGTGATCGATACGTTGTGCTTGTTCGAGAGATCGCGGATCGTACCGCGATCGGTTCGTACTTGTGCATCGAAGTAGTATTGTGCAGCGACTGTCCGTGCGGTTTGGCAAAAGCGACGAACAAGAACCCGATCAGTACCGTGCCGTCCTTATCAATTTCGCCATGGCAACACGCGTCGGAGATGCTGCTGGAGTACTGGTGTATTTACGTCGTTCCCAGCAAGTGAGTGTGAAAGCCCAACCGAGAACCCCCTCCCGTACAATTACTGTTCTCTTTGATAGCGTAGACTTGTTTCTGCGCCGTACGGAGAATTTTAAATAAACGTCTCTGTGTATGTTCTCTTGTCTGTGAAGTAAAAAAAAAATATACATATGTATAGGAGCCCAGAGACGATGAATTATTACGGGCTGTACCAGGCGGTACGTTCACGGCTTCACTTCAGCCAAGTCGCGGCCTGGTGGTCCAGGAGCAACGGCGCCGAGCCGAGCTGCATCGCGACAAGGGTGGTGCCGTGTAACGAGGAAAATCTGAGGAAGTTTCGTGAGACCCCTGTGGAGCATACCTTCCCTCTAGCTGGCAACGGCGATGGAAATTCGATAAAGGTAGGTTGAGGTGGGAGGGCTAGAGAGGGAGGACAGAGAACCTCACCAATTCCAGTGCCTTAGGCATCGGCTCGGTCGAAGAGCCCCAGCCTGTTAAATTAATGGACGGTTATCATCGCGCGAACAAACAGACAATCAGGCATTCTTCATCGACAATCTCTTTGAAATTCAACTTGGTATCGTATGTGACGGTCCACGCGTGTAAACTGCGAAAACGTTGTGAAAAAACAGAAAGCAAGATAGATAAGTCAGAGGGATAAGTTATAGATTTGATTGCTTATCACACGCCGTTGTCCGATAATACCGATGAAGGTGCGTGATGGGGTCTTAATTGATCCAACGACTCTGTAGAGAACACAGGGCCAGAACCACAAACGAAGAACGTGTTTCGAAATGACACACACGTTCGACTCTCGTGGTAAAAGCCGAGGTCAATGTTCCTCGAATTGTCCATGTAAATCCGCATGGTGGTTCTACCATCCACGCACAGACACACGTTACTTGAGAGTGTACCTTCCACGGTTCTATTCTGGTGAACCGAGGACACTAACGAATGCCTACTTTTAACCATGCAGATGAGTCACACTACCACCCAGTCTCGTTCGAGAGTAACCATCACTGCAATTTAATGGAGCTGAAGAGGATTTCTCGTGTAAATTTTAGGTCACCGTGTGGGCACTACCGAGGATGGAGGAGGTGCCGATTCTCACCTGTCCGCTCCATCCGATCAAAGAGAAGGACGACGAGGCTGTTGCTAGGGCATTGACGCCCACCAAAGCGATCCCAGTCCCCAGTGTTTCCCAGACCGCCGAGGGCCTCGTTTTGCCTGGTAATGAAGGACATCAAAGAACGACGAACGTGATATTTCGCCGTTCGAGTATCACCTTCTGAATCGATTTATATATTCTACTTAGTATTCCTTGACTTTCGCTGCTCTACCTTGTCCACACCCTTAGAAATTCACCGATCCAGCATATCAGTTTTCTCTCGTGTATATTTTCAGCTTCTAATTCTCTTGCCCCCCTTATACCTCTGTCATCGCTTGAATCTTATGAAATGCTAGATTTACATCAGAAACTTCGTCCATTTGATATTCTGTCTGTTCTCGTGATGTGTTTCAAGTCGTTGATAAATTAGGGAAGCTGATGCTCGAAGAGTGCCTTACCAAAGAGTCAATCCCCCTGAACATGTCGCGAAACAAGTCTGCTTTTCTGGAACAGCTTTGGTGGACGACAGGCTCCAGACGCCTTGTAACAAGCTCGGCAAGCATCACTGTAGTTGCGAGGAGGAGGACGCACCGCCGCCATCGCCGTCGATCCCACGACCGAATAGCGAACGGAAACGGCGACGATCGCTTCCTTGTGGACCTGCAGAGGTGAATCAATCGAGTGTGACGGTGGTCCAACCGATGCCTCTGCCCTCGGTGCAGGAATCAACGACGCAAGAACCGAAGGAGAGCCAAAGCTCGAGCTACCCGAAGTGTTCGTCTGAGATCACGAAGAACCGCGTGAAACCTGTACAGGTACAGAGCTGCAAGCTGGAGGAGAACGGTGTTAGGAATCGCAACAATCTGAATTCCGACAACCTGGAACGTTGTTTCAAAGCTCAGCTGAGCATCGAGGAACGCGAGGGGAACGTGGAGAAACGTTACAAAAGATCGATCGAGGATCCTGAACCAGCGAAATCTAGTGGCGGCTGCACGGACAAACAGTGCAATCTGGAGAAGAAGGACGTGCAAGGTAGTAGCAAGAAGATGAAAGAGACAGAGAGCAAACCAACAGAGAAGAATGGATTGTTCGAAAATTTGATACCATTCAATTCCTCGTTACCGTGGTCTTTCGTCGACTCATGGAACAACAGCGCCGCGAATGGGAAATGCGCGTTCCAGAGCCTGCGCGGGAACAAGGAGAGCTACTTGAACGATCCCGAGAGAACCTGCAAATCGGCCATCGCCAAGGACACGAGTCTCGTGATAAATCCGTTCAGGCAGCCGAGTCCTTTCCACGAATCAAATCCAGGCCCATCGACGAATAATCGGGTGAAGCAAGAATCCTTGAATTCCGTTTGCATGGTGCATCAGAGTTGTACGAAACCGTCAAACAAGTTGCCCGCCGCGGTGTGCCACGGGCAGGAAGTGGCGCAAACGAGCTTGGACAGTGGCGCGAATAATAAAGGGAGAAATGGAAAGGATCTGAGTCAATTGATGTCCAAGTTGTCGTTCCCCGAAGACAAAGAGAAGTCGAAAGAGGAAGGAGGATTCTTGGACTGGTTCACCAAGGTTCCTGGAAGGGTGCTGGGCGTGGCGCCAAGCAATGGCTACGTGGAGAACAAGGTTAAAGCCACGAATCTGAAGAGCCAGGATCAACACGGGAACGAGGTCAAATTCAAGAACTGCAACCTGGAACTGAGTCAACGGGAATTCGATGAGGTACTAGCGGTGTTGAGGGCCAGGACACCGTCAGGTAGGAAGAGGACCAGCGCCAAGACGATGAGGAGACGCGAGAGGACGGAGAAGTCGATCGAGGACGGGACGAACCGGAAGTATGTAAATCTGGAGGACAGTGAATGTTCGACGAACAACATAGTGAATCGCGCCAAGGCCTGCGACAGTTGCAGCCACAAGTTATGTCGCAAAAACGATCAGCTAGCGTTGGAGAAGACCCACTTCAGTGAGATCTATGGCAATAAGAATATCTACCATCCATCACAGAAGCGGGAGAAGATTGACGGTGGTTCGAGCGAGGAGCTGCAACCGATCAAATGCAATAACACCGAGAAACGGGCGAACGAACCAGTGGATTGTCTGCAGAACGTCTCGAACAAAGCGGACATACTGTTGGGAGCAATCTTACGAACCAGTAGAGAACGAAGGAACCTGCCAGAGGTTTCCAGCGGGACCAAACCCCGGCCCGTGTTGCCAGCTACGACCACGAGCGAGGCGGAGACCAGTCGAAGCACCGTGGATAACGAGAAAATGTATCAGGAACAGAGGACAGCTGCGTTGGAGGACGAGAAGTCGTTGCACATGGCGTTGAACAAGCGTTTCAATCGGATCCGGCAGCTTTTCAAGAAGGATCAAGAGAAGAAGCATGAAGACAATAGCCTGGAAGCAGCCCAGTCGCTAGTTCAACGTTCGTTCTCGTACAACAACGTCCAGCCGAGTCTGCACGATCCAAAGAACCTGAGGGACATCAAGGCGAAGAGGCGGATAAACTTCACGAGCCTCGAGGAGTCTGAGAAAACCGAGACGTGTACCGATCCTTCAGAGCTTAGTACAAATGGCGCACATCAAAACTCAAGAACCTATAGTACAAATTACAAGGAGGATAGCAACGGCAGCTATGACACTCCCGAGACGCCCAAGTGGCTGAACAGCAGACTGCATAGTACAAACCAGGAAGACAGCACAGTCGAACAGGAGGATGAAGAGGAGGAGGAGGAGGAGGAGGACGATGAGGCTGTTTCAAAATTGCTCAAGGATCCGAAGCCAGCGAAACGTCGAAACAACGCCAAGGACAATACGAGCACGGAGGATGACGAGATCCTCGACAGGATAGTACCAACTGCCATCGAGCAAGAAAGGTTTCGCAGGTCTCTGGAGAACGCAGCTTCGATGGTGTTCCACAGCAGGACTGGGTTGCCATTGACATCAAGCCCGGCACCGTTGAGAAGAGGCAGCTGCTGCTTTGATTACGATAGTAGCTTGAATTCTGTGTCCTCGAAGAGAAGGTACGAGTCTATTCTGTCTTTCCACAAAACTGTATAAACATTGTTCCTTCGGTATCAGAGAGATGAAGGGACTTGCGTTAGGTTGGTGGGGAACAAATGGCCCTTTACCATTATTGTTCCTCGACAATCTAATGAGTTCAGTAATGGAATATGTAGAGTTCACTTTTTTTTTTTTTTTGTCCCAGTGCATTATTCGAGTTGAACACCCCGCCAAGTCCAGGCGCGGTGTCCTTGGAGGAGACCGACAGGGAGACCGAGAATGTTGGGGAGGGCGAAGGAACACCCAAAAGACGATCCACGTCTCGCAGCAGACCGCAGAGTCATGCTCTTCTGGGTAGCTTCGAGGAATCAGCATTGAACGGCAGACTCGAACCGGTGTCAACGGTTCACGGTTTCACAGCCGAGCTCGGTGCAAGCGGTTCTTTCTGCCCGAAACATCGAAAGCTTCCGGTCACCGTGTTCTTTTACACGCTCGGTGACAATGATAAAGTTTCCACGCCCTATCTCGTACGTACACCATTTAAAATATTCTTACGTTTTCTTTGTTTCTCTTTGTTCTTTTATTTTTCTTACGAAAAAATGTTTTATCCTGTTTTTTTTTTTCTATTCACCTGATTTTCAAGGAGATTTTGTTTGCGTCGAATTACCTTGTATTATAAAGATATCGATCTGAATACGACACCTGTTCCTTTTTGCATAGGCACATATTAATTTGGGCAAAAAGGGCTACCAAGTACCAAGAAGCGGTACTATTCAAGTAACGCTTCTCAATCCCTTGGGTACAGTCGTTAAGATGTTCGTAGTACTATACGATCTTTCTGACATGCCGCCACGATCTCATACTTTTTTACGTCAGAGAACACTGCGGGACAAAACGCTACGCTACCTCGTTCATCTTAGGTGCGTACAACGACGAAACATATAATTTTGTCCGTGCTTGTCTCGAACTTTGAAATTTTAATTAACTAATACGAGGGAGAAACACACCTTCCCGTTAATTAAAGTTTTAAAGCTTTTATGACCAGTGTTTTCCACAGTAGCTCTGTCGAGGCTTTCGAGCGTGAAGTTTCAGAAATTCTTGACCGACACGCTCGCTATCACGAAATATTTCAAATTCTTTATTCCCTCTCAAACTCAATGATCCATCAGATACAGTGTTGTATCAGGGTATTAATGCGTGATAGTGGGCCTGTCAACTCATTACAGAAGAATAATCAATAATAAACCCTTTAACACCCGGTGTGACGTATACGTCACATCTAGATAATCATATTTCCAGGGGTTTTGTACTGAAAATACAGATGAGGTGCAGGTACTGGAACCATTTTTTAGTTAATTAACCCAGAAGAGTTGTTTACGCGTTAAAAGGTTAAAAATAAATTTAGAAAAAGTAAAAAAAAAAAAAAATTGGTTGGTCTCGATACTTTCGACCTTAAAATAACAAGACACAACATGTATATCAGTCTCATAATGTTGAAATAACGATTTAAGGGTCTGGGCGTTAAAGGATTAAGTTTCCATAAGCACAATGTTCATACTCGTTAGCTACGACCGTGTCTGTACCTCCTTTCTTGTGTCAACGCTAATTCACGCTTTGTGTTTATCCGTTTCCGCTGCTGTGTGTGCAACTAACCCCTGCCTCCTAAGCTGTCTTACGTTTCTCCAGATCCTCAAGCTTAACTGAGTTGTACGAACGTGGGCGGGCTGCGTTTCGCGGCGTTAAAACGGTTCGTTTCGTTGCAGATTTATGTCCGGCAAGTCGGGTCGGATTTACTTGCACACGGACATCCGTATGATCATATGTCGGAAGTCTGACGTGGACACGGCGTCGGACTTCGGGTCCGAGCCGCCGAAGGAATTACGGAGCTACATCCACGGCCCGACAAATCCGAAATTTTCGCCAAGGTGCTGAGCCACGTGGCTCTTTCCGTGGGGTTGCTGCCAGTCGCTACGCTCGCCTAGCCCCCTTCACGCAGAGGTATAAAACTTGCGTCTCCGTCGCTGATTTCTCGGGGAGAAAATGTTCCATTTGTTCGGAAGAAAAAATGAGGCTGGTTGTTGAACGCAGACGATGATACAAATGAGCTGCGAATTAAAGAGAGAAACCCCGGAAATGGGAGGGTTCGATTGAAATCAGTGTCCAGGAAATGTTGCTTTTCGAGAGAGAAATTATGTATTTGGAAAAACGGAAGAAAATGTCGGATGACATGGGAACGATGGATGGAAAGTCCTACTGCTAGCTGTGGAAGGGATACGAGCCTTTATCCAGGGGACGGTTTTGGAAAGGATTCGACGGGAAATGTTTGTGGAAGCGGTCTGTCCAAGAAGGGAAGGGTTGATTGGAAGACGTGGAAGGGTTGCGAAAGGATTTTTTTAAGGATGCGTACCTTTCTTCGTGCGAAGCAGGCGTGTAGGTTTTGTTTTGGGAATGATTGTTGCGAAGAAAGGAGATGATATTGGTGCGTTGTACATGGACACGAATAACTTTTGGAGGAAAATTGTTTAAACGGGAACGGTTGTTTCCGTGGGAGAAATATTTGAGAAGTGAAACGAAATAAGGCGGTAGTAAGCGTGTAAAAGCCGTTTGTCTTACTGGTTAGCCTCCATTTATTTGTTGTCTTCTCTTTTGTTTAGTAACTTTATTTATATTACACGAGAGACACGCGGGTTGGTTAATCAGCTTGCGTGAGTTTCATCCGTTTTGAAGATCGATGGAAAATTTGTTCAGTTGTTACACGCGGTTGTCGCAGCGACTCGTCTCGTTTGGATTAATCTCGTTTTTACGTTATCAATTATAATATTCCTCTTGTCTTTCAAATTCAAACGTTTCTAGCTGCCAAGCCGACGGACTTTCGAATCGCAAGCCGGACGATCTCCTTGGAAAGCCATCTTCTCGATTTATTGTTGTAAATATAAGTCACGTGTAAAGTCGAATAAGAATTTTTTTAAACGGGATGATACTGTCATGTGTGTGTGTGTGTGTGTGTATCTGAATGTGTGTGTATGTGTGTGCGTGAGTAGCACCCATACGTTTGAAGAAAGAAGAAGAAGAATAAGTAATTAAGTGATACGAGCACAGAAAACGTCAAGAATCGGGTCTCTCGTTGACATCGAAGAACATCATCCTCTTTCGAGCTATTGTACAAAAGATACAAAAAAAAAAGAGAAAAATGTGATCTAGAAAATCCTTTAGAATGTAATTTAAAATAGATACCATTTTACAAAGGGAAGATAGACGGAAGAAGGGAAAATCAGAAGAAGAACGCACTTTCGCGTGGAAATGTAGTTTGGCGATCAACGAGTGGCTGGATTACGCGACTTTTCCTCCTCGATGATGAAAAAAAAAAAAATAAGAAGAAGAATAAAATCATTATTTACACGTATAAACAGAACACAATTTTGTGTCCGTAGCACTGTGATGAATATTTTGATAGACTATAAAGAGTAATTATTATAAAAGTATCTATTTGAAGTAGAGAATATGTCCTAGATTATAAATAATTATTAATTGTACTAATGTCGTACGAGGAATGTAACCGAGCGTAATTTACTAACCGTAAAAAAGAATTACACACACCTTTCGCAGACACAGGAGGGAGCTCATTATTGTCTCCGTAAAAACCGAACGACACGTTCGTTTCCCATTTATTTTTCTACGCGCATTGAAAACGAACAATTGAAACCAAAATCCCTCTAGACCACTCGAGGAGATATCTCCAGTTTTGAAGACCGATCGAATATCACCTGTAAAAAAAAAAAAAAAAAAAAAGAAGAAACACCATTGAAAATAATTACCATGATCGGTTGCAATCTGACTGGAAAAAATGAGAGCTGCGAACACGGAGATTTTCGAATATAGAACCAGGAGAAGGTTCAGGTGATTTTCCAATCTGTTTACAAACCAAAAAAAAAGGAACAGGAATAGAATTACAGTTTGGACGCGATGGAGACGCGTGGGGACATTTTAAAGGCGCAATTTGCGATCTGTAAGAAGATCTGTCTTTCTATCGAGATACGACGAGAAACGTTAACGAAGCATGACAAGTTCCGCAGGTAGGCCGACGAGCGCGCACTGTTTTTGCTCCGAACGATCGTGAATAGTGTGTGGATCGTTCGCTGGCACAGGATTGGGAGCCATTTTTTAAAAGTCGCATAACGATACGTTTGTGTAGCACGTGTTCACTGTATGGCAAGGAAAACTGTAGTGTGTGTAATCACTGCCATGCTGTATATAAATACGTTTTAGCGTAGGTCGACCGTTGACGACCGATTTAAGGAAATTTTATCAATAGCCTCTCGTCTGATCCCAACGACCAGAAAGGGGTGAAGCCTATAGAGCGGCCGAGGTCCGTTGGAAAATTTCTAAATCGTCTCGAGTTACTCACGATCAGACTTCGAACGTAGCTTCTTTCAATATTTACGCAATACTTTGAACGGTGGATAAATCGAGAACGGAAAAATCTTTTTCCGAGCAGTGTCGTTGCTTCTTGGTGTAGCCCCAATACGTTTCCTGAATATCCGAACGGATAAACGATACACAGTCGCTTGATAGCTTTAAAGTCTCCCACGTCACTTTAATTTTCATACAGCGCAGATATGATCGAGCAAAACACGTGAAAATTCATTGGTAGCGTACCTTTTTTGGGAAGGAGGAACGATAACATTGTATTTTTGGAATCCTACGATCGAGAAACATCTCTCGTGACCACGAACTCCTAAAACGCGCACTAACGATCTTTTTTTCTTATTATTTACCGATTCATTGTGATAAAAACTTTTATCGGAACGAAAGATTTGCAAATCATCCGGGGGCAAATTACGTTTCCTTGAAAGAAAAAAATATACGAGGACGAGTTGATTCGACCGGTGCCAAAAACTCGGAGGACGGGACGGAAATATGGTGTGAACCAGCAAACGTTTCGTATCTGTTCCAAATGCAAACTTCGTGCTTTTTTTTAAAACGATTTTATTCTGTCGATGTTGTTTCTTTTTATTTTCATTTTAATTCGTAGTTTATTTGACGGTGTTTTAAATTCGAAAGAGAAGATTATTTTATTTTATTTTTTTTTTCGTTTTATCGCTGAACCCGCTACTATCGCGAGAAAGTTTTTTATTTACGAATCGGCGAATCGGCTGCCACCTGATTTATAAATTTCCTCTATCGATCGGTCGGCCTCGGGACTCTCCGTTCACCGCGACCGATCCAGGTAATTTGAATTTCACTTGTCAGTGCTAGTTAATAGAACGTTTTGCGTTGTGTCACCTGAGCACAGTGATGAACGCCAGGAATGTACATAGGGTAGCGTTATTTTATAAACGAAAATTGATTGTTACTGCTAAGACGTACTTTTCATTATTCAGCGAGCGAAGCGTGCGGTAAGAGAGAGAGAGAGTGAGAAAGGGAGAGAAAGAGAGAGAGAGAGAGAGAGAGAGATTCACTTATGGTTACGCATGCCCAAACATAATAAAAGTACAGCAATGCATTACAAACACTCACTGTGTGCGATTACTCGATGGAATGTTGAACAAATTCCGTCCAAGCCTTACCAATATTAATCATAATAATTCTCTCAGCCTTGTTAGACTCTGCACAGGTGTTCAGTACTCACAGATCGTTTAGGTATGTCATTACGTATAGAGCACAATTGTTTCATGTCGTATTATATTTATTAACAATGTCTTACAAGAGTACACTCGTGCTATTCACGCGAGTGTCTCTCTGCAGTCCGTAATTACAGCTAAAAATTATCTCCTATACGAACAGTACTTTGACCACTCTAAAAACGTGTGATTATATACACAGGAAACGCAGTTGTGTCGTGAAGACCTCTATTGAAAAAATTTTGTACAGGATCGCTCTTCCGATCCTCGTCGAGAACAAAATCACGCAAAACTTTATGGATTGCAATCTAATCTCTTATACAAAATATGCGAATTCATCGACGGACATTGCAGAAACTTTAATTTGTTCGAATAAAGTACAAATTCACAGTTGGGATATGTATAAAATATAAGAAAATTCGGGCTGCATTTTCGTTAAATAGTCGTAAACGAGAAATCTAGAAAAGAATCTTGACACGTACGTAAAAAGAAATTGTCGCGTAGAAATATTTCATCGTTTGTTTGTATAAAAGGTTAATTAAAAAGCCAAGGAGTTAAAAGGACTTCTCGAGAGTCTGCTCGTTCACATTATACAAAATACTTTTCAGGGATGTGGGTCGTCTAATGTAATTTTTCATCGGAGCCAGTCCTGCTTGACTCGCGTCATATCGTTTCTGTAGCTCTCTCGCGCATTTAATCGATAGATTATGAATCTTCTTTTTACATCGTCACAAATGGTGAACGTTTTCCTTCTATGAGGAACCAGTTCACAGTTTCCCTATCTATTCAACTAAAGTCTGGCATTGAATCACAGTTTGCACTCCGTATGACGTTCTCTCCCTAGACAAACTACCTAATCCCCTCGGACGCAAAGAAATGCTTTGCAGTTACCTATATGCAATTAAAATGCTGACTTAATAAACGCGCGAAATATAAAAAAATAAAACGAAGTCCCCCTGGAGCTTCCAGGCGAGTCACGTGGAACAATTAAATGCCCTCTTGAAGATTCTTCGGATCCAAGTTATTTCAAACTTCCGGATCTAAACGTCGATAGTTTAATTTTAACAGAATGTACGTACACACAAGAAGCGAAAGCAACAAATCAGGTCCTGAAATTATACAAAAATGACCGCGACAAAAATATCCGGAGGCTCCAGGAGGTATCGTCTGACTTCCGGTGGAAAGTACGAAAGTAGGAGAACAACGGAAGCTAGTCGAATCTTTCGGTTTCCTTCAGCGTGATATGTGGTGCCTTAACCGTGGGTGGGTGCAACGAGAAGCTTCAATTATCTCCGTACGTTTCGAAAAAGCTTGGATACATCCCACGCGGTCAGTCGCCTACAAATTCCCCAAGCGAGAGATGGGAACTCGATCGCCGGGGATCTTGAACACGGTTCATTTTCTAGTTATTCAGTTTCCAGGACACGAACGTTGCGGAATTCACTTCGAGCCATCTGCAAAATTTTCAATAAAAACTAAATAGTTTTTTCGTTCGCTCCAATAATTCTTTTTTCATTTTTGAAATCAGTTACGTACTCACTCACTCCGATTCTTTGGTCCATACAATTGGAATTTTGTTAGCAATACCTCACTTCCATCCCCCGTGGAAGCTTGTGGCCCTGCTCGTTGCTCATACGAAGCTGCCTGGTGGCCATCCCACCCCCGCATTGACTGCTCCAGTCGGTGGTGGAGACGGGTGTTCGGTAGAATTTCGACGAGGTCTTGTTAAAGATTGGCAACAATTCGTTCGCCTCGTCGGACAGAGCCTAATCAAACGGAAGAATCGGTTTTTAACTTGGACCGTCGTGGACAGACTCGATAACACCGACCACATTCAACCCCCTTAAAATAGGGATGTTCGAGTCCGATTCGAATCTTCAGAAAATCAATTCCCTTAGATTGCACATCACTGCTATCTATAAAACACACGCTACCGGCCAAACTATGGGGCCAGAGTTCATGATTTATGGAATAGTAAATCATTATTCTGTTATCATAAATTAAGTCACGGAATCGGTACATATCGTACTAAAAAATTCACAACTAAAAAATCGAACATCCCTACCTTGAAATTCTGGCTCACCGAGAGAAGGATTAAGATTTCACCGGGGAAAGTAACTTTACACAAGGTTGCGCAACCGAAAAAGAAACGGGGGGGGGGGGTAGGGGGATTCTTACTTTGAGGTATACGATGGCATCTGTGCCGTAGCCGTCGCAGCTCTGAAGTACCAGATCGCCATGGAAATATCTCGCGTACAATCGGGACACTGGAAGACCGTAGCCGTATCCGGCTAGGGGAACGGTGTGCGCGTCGGACACACTCGGTCGTGGGGCCGTACTGTACATATACTTGAATAAATGGTCCATTTGCGAACGGGGAATGCCACCGCCTCGATCAGACATCTGTAAGGATTCCATATATCGTGTTCAGAAGTGGGCAATAGCAGCCTGCCAAGTTAGTCTTCGCGAGGAATTGACACAACCATTGTATGTGTATGCATAATCGATGCGAAAATTGATTCCAGTGTTTCGACAAGGTTCCAGCTGATGCTATCAGTTTGCGTGACAACACTGGCATTGAATATCAAATGCGTGTGATATTGTGTATCAATGCCGACGAAACGTTGGATCGAATTTCTACTGGAGCAGCTGATAACTAGACTGTGGATGTTTATGCATTTACAGCATTTTTTCAGTTGGAAAATATAATAAAATAGAGCTTTCAAGAAAGCTTAATGCTATCCGTGTCTTATTAACATAGTGATGCCTCTAGTACAACATTTGAAATTTTACGACGTTTTAATTTTTAAGTATTAGTATCTGAAATCGTGAATTTGCATAAACTTCCGCAATCTATTGATAACTATTCACGAGTAGTTCTGTTACTGATTTAGAATTATTGATCTTCGAGCTACAATATGTGTTGATCGTCTGAGAGCTGTAGGAATCCTTGAGACTTTACCTTGACACACACGTCTTCCTTTCCACGCGACACGATCACCTCTATCGGCGGACACTCCGATTCCGAGCCATGGTGTTCCATAACCGCGCGCATACTGTTTTTAAACAACTCGAACAACATGTGGAACAGATGGCTCGGTACGTAAACTATCCTAATTTGGCTACATCGTTCGAATTCTGAAAAGAGCAGACATAAAACGCAGATAAGATACATTCTTCGACGTACTATATATAATATATCGTTTGGTGCTTTGGTTGATTATGAATTAAATTTAAATGTTTTAATCGTTCTTATCGTATAACCTGATCGTAGCGATATACTGTTTCACTACACCTACTACAGATAATTGTTTACGTATATACTACTTACTAGCGATGCTATAGTACAATCAACATTTTTCAAACTTGCCGTTATGTTGCTTGACTATCAGTTCCGGGCTAGCCAGATAATATTGATCGCAAAGTAATCTCGCCTTCTCGTACGCGTCTTTCACAACGTTGATAACATCACACGAGGGGTCTATGGATCCCACGTGTGTACTGTGTCCGTTCAATTCAGCCCCGAACAGAAGGGCTGCAACAAAAATAGGTGAACGCAACATGGAACGCATAAAGACGATTTACCTAATCGTCTGTCGACAATCTCTCTGATTTTTGTGATCTAATACCGATTATATTCCAGTTATAATGTCCCATCTGATCAATCGATGTCACAAATTTTCTGTGACCACCGGTGTCAGCGAAATTAATCGAAAGGCATATTACGATCGCAATACTATCTTGAAAAAGAAACTTACTATGCTGGTTGATCAGCATACGAATGGAAATTCTAGACATGAGAAACCTGTCCAGAAAATACTGGATATTGTTCTCTGTCTGCGCATCGACATCGTGCGATTCTTTGAGCTCCAAGACCCCCTGCGCCATTGTCTCGACGATATCCTTGTGCCTGTTACGTATTTTCACCAAGGTCTGACAGAATCTATAGAGAAATGAAGGAATTCTTTTTTAAATCGGTTGAATCCGTTGCTACACCACGAAGTTGCAAAAACAAGAAAACGTAGTAACAGGTGAATCTAACGTGAATCGTTTCGAGAGACTTGTTTCTGACGTTAAAGACTCACTTGTCTAAAGTGGTCTCGTTGACCTCAACCTTCTCGAAGTGTATGATATCCTCGAAGGAGGTGGCGTATAAATTATTAACTATACCCACACTAGGCATTTTCAGTAGGTTGTCCGGCAGCAGGTGGATCTCCTTCATAATGTTCGCCAGTCGGACTGGCAGCTCCTTCCTTAAGAATATAAAAGACTTCCTTTCGCATGCACTTAGTCCTGAAACAAGCAAAATTTCCCTGTAAATGTCTTGAAACAATTAAAACCTGCAAAATCACGTTACGCGAAGAAGTGGTGGAATTTCGAGAGACAGAGATGGATCACAAACGACTCGAGGGAAAACCTCGTGACAATGTTTTCTGTTTTCCTCGGCTAGAGAGTAAACATACATATTTGCCAAGGGACTCGAGAGGGCAACGAAACAAGATGCCGTGATAACGTCCAATGATCTTATCGCGATAATTTAATAATCCACATAAATGGGAACGTTGTTGACGGTTCGAAGAGACGCTGGACGAACTCTGCAAATAACAATGTTGCGCAACGTATACGCTGTTGTAACTACTACATTATCAGAAGGGGAGAGAATAATTATATGCCGCGATTTCTCCATTATCTGTCGGTGTCTCAGCCGGTCAACAGTTTTAGTCGCACCATTCCATCGATGCCAGTAACTCCCGAGAATGAATATTGACAATTGGAAAGGAAAGCTTTGGACATTTTACGGAAAAGAATTTTATTATTCCAGATGTTTTGTTTACAAGATACCAGAAATGGGTCACACACACGATCCTTCGACGTGTACGGTGCGAGGTATACATATACAGGGTGGACTACGAAACATGATCAGCTTAGATTATTCCACCGCTAGCTATTCGATCGAACATCTTTTTGGCTAGTATAATATAATTCCAGGAGAGTTTTAAGATGATTGTACTAAATTTTTCGTCAACCTATTTTTTTTTCCAGCGTTTTCAAGGTCACCTTCAATTATATATCGAAACACCTATAATCTTTTTACGCCCATCTTTTGCAAACCATGTTTTAACAAATAATTTTGTTTCCTTCCAAACCAAAGAAACATTAAGAAAATATCGTTTATCTTAATTAAAACGATGTTCAAACTAATGTCCAGCTGTAATACACTCGCGTAAACGGTTGAGAAACGACTGCTTCGTTCTATTTATGACGTCTGCACTGATGGTTAAGCATGCAAAAAACGTTTCCTGCGAACAGCCTAGCAGTGGAATAATCTAAGCAGATCACGTTTCGTGGTCCACCTTGTATGTTTTTTTTTTTTCGTTGGCACCATCGTTCCAGGTGGGTAGGTGGCCCTGACTGGACTGATAGATACTACTTTATCAGATCTCTCACAATCAGGACGTGTAACGCGATGTAACAGTTTGGCCTGGTCTCAAGATTCTCCGACTACTTTTGGCATCCGTTCGTGAAATTCGACCGATCGATTACCTCGAGTACGACCAGTTTATTCATTATTTGCCGAGGATCAAGGCGCATCGATCAATTTCTCTTCCGTTGTAAAGTGCAGGCCGCTTATTGCGTCGCGCGTTGTGTCTGTAAAACCGGACGAGGAATCGATAGCATCGTTTACTATCATTAGCGTTGACCTAGTAAATGCAATAGTCGTTAACGAAAACACAGAGTCACATACCACTCAGCATTTGTCAAGGATTATCGAACAGTCGATGAGTTTTAGTTATCCAATTACACTCGAAGTGTTTACGATTAGTCAATTGTAAACTGTTAGAGTAAATGATGAATTAACAGAACTACAGGAAGGTTCGTTTTAATCTACATAAATTCCACAGTACTGCTTTTACAGAAAGTAATTTATGTAATCAGCCACGTAATTTCCATTAGTCTCTATATTACTCTTTCTTATCGTTCCATGAGTTTTTTAACACTAGAACTATCGAAACAGTAAAAATGACTGATCAGTACACTCTTATAACGATGATTTATATTACAACAATATATTTTCTGGCATTTTTTTACAATTTCTATTACGATACGAAAGTAAAGAAATTAATGAATAAATAAATTTGTACATTTTCAAAAGTTTGTCACCCACAAACTTTCTGTTCGACCCAATAGAAATATTATTTTTAATTTAGTGTTCATTATAAATCTTATTCATTCTAAACCACGAGGTATCATACGTTTTCCTTGGCCACTGCATTTCCCAATTACCGTTCCTAAATAAAGTTTCCACGTGTTTCCTGCGGTTCTGTCGTCATGGATCCAAAAACAAATTCCATTACACCTGACCGACGCTTGCGTCAGCATCGATAACGTACTTCCGTCGTACAATGAGACTGATCCCGTCGCTTAATTGGATTAAACTTCCCTCGCAGTGGCAACTTCGCTCTCCCACGATCTCGAATAAACACGGAAGAATTTCCACGATGAGAAACACGACAGTGACAGAAATAGGAGACTGAAGGAACGTTAGTGAGAAAGAAAATAGCTATTACTGGTCGTTATTTATGATCAGAAGGTAAACGTAGGTGGGTCAGTAAATGGTAAAAGCATTCTTCAATCAGACTTCCCCTCATTATTTTATTCGTACAATACATCCTTTATTCATTGATCCTCCATCAATTCACCAGTGAATGATACTCTAATTTGATAGAAGCTTCCAACTTCATGGGAACTTTAAACTCGATTACATTGCAATTTATCGACAGATTCGCTCGATAATAGGGGAAAAAGGGTATTTTCGCTCGTAGCTTTCCAAGCTTCTCTCCATCTAACAAGGCCGCGTTTTCCCTAACAGGGTTCACCGGTGAGCAACTGATTCACTGCCAAGTGCAATCGCTCGTCGATGATAAATAGCCGTGAAATTGCGAGCTGATCGAACTGGATGGCAAGGTCTTTCGCGGGAAACGGTGTTCACCTCGATCGATGCGTCGATCGGAGGACAGTCACTTTCCACAGCTGTGCGCCTTTACAAGATTTCCCGGAAATTATCTATCTTCTTCAGACTCGCAGATGAACCGTGAAATTGGTACAGCATGGGCGTCTATTATTTTCACGATTGTCGTCTTTTAGTCTTTTAGTTATATGTATATGTATATATCAGTCTCGTAATTCTGAAATAACGATTTAAGGGTCTGGGCGTTAAAATTACGGTCTAAAAGAAACCTTTTGTGGTCAGTACAGTCATAAATTTTCTTCGACTCCTACCTGGGATGTACCTTCCACCACCATCCCGAATTCATTTCCACCAATTACAAGGCAGTTCTGAAAATCAGGGGTACTCGATAGCTTCGTTTATTTCAGAGTTTCCCTTCGCATTTAAATACAGTTTGGCCGTTGGCAAGTAATGTTCTCTTCGCCTTTCTGTTAAATTCAAAAGTCCTCCGATACAACAGTCCATCGATGGAAGACTACATTGTTTATTTAGAAGTTCGTCTACGCGTTATTACCAACTGCACCGTGTATACTTTCATCGCGTGAACAAATACAGTGGATTAGTGGGGTATTAAAAAGTGTGTTGGGACGGAAAGGACAGAAAAAGAACACCGTGGACGATAATGTCGAGGCAGAGCCTGGAAATCGTGGTAATTGTGTGTGTGTTGTGGCCCATCGCGAAATCACCAGAAAGTGTAATTCCTCTCACGTGAAAGATAAGAGACAATTGTGATGTATTCTGTCGACTGTTTACGTATTCGCGATCGGACGTGGCGAGCCTCCCGGTCTTTGGACTTCAACCTCATTCGTATTCTCCGCGCATATAATCGTGAAAACGTTTTTCTCCGTGTGTCTTCTTTGCCAAAATGCCAAAATACTTTCTTGTTCGCGATGCAGAGTCCGGTGACGAGCTGCCAAGGAACTCGTGTCGCGACTTCTGCTAAGGTCAGAGACTGGAAACAGGATCGATAAAAGTCGCAGAATCCTTGATATGCTGTTTCTTTATAACGAAATTGCGATCCAAGGATTCGTGACACAGATGATTCGCGTTAAACAATTGGAAAATTGAGTTAACAACTGTTACTGATGTTTCAAGGCAATAGAGACCGCGTGAACGAGCTATAAAGTTTCCAGGCATTATACTTGAGTGATGCTATTTGTTCGTTAATTGTATATACTCACAAATATGAACAAATACATACTACTAATATTTTATTTTGTTATTTAGAGTACGTACTCATACGGCAACAGTGGGAATGAAAGGATTAATAAATAATTTCTATCCTTCGATCTTCTAGTGAATCGGTACGAATTGCACGAAGCTTATGAAAATTTTACGCGTTGCCGCGATATCACGAGCAAAGTTTTAATTAAAGGGCCGTAACAATCAATCTACGACCGACCAGAGAATCCATCATAACGATGTATGTAATGAGTGATGAAAAAAAAGTTCTCGCAGCTCCCATCGGGTATGTGTACCCGAGTGACGTTAGTTTTTCCTCGTAAATTTTCTCGTTTCCATGAAGAACAGTTTGACCCATATTTCCACAGTATTGAGAATCATTAATGGATTGAAGGAAGCGCGAAATTGCGAATAAAACTTGAACCTGTCGAGCGAGAATGGTGCAATTAAGGGTGTTGGTCCACGAGGAGGGCGAGCAAGGGTGGAAAACTCGCGAGGGGATAATAATTTCAGGGTGTGCTCAAGGGAAAATGAAACCTACTCAATGAATCGGACAATTGACGAGACCTATACAGAGGATGATGCAAAAAGAAGGGTTCATAACTTCTAGGATAGATATCTGTACCAATTGGAAACAACGAAAAAATTTTTTAAAAATTAGTAAAAATTCTAAGTAATCTTCTGCAACCAGAAAAAGAAACAATGATAAGGTAATCTATTAACACGGTACGATAGTTCCCGAAGCGAGAAAATCAGTAACTTTAACCGAAATAAAAAATTGTTCATAACTTCAAAATATTTATCTTTCCACTCGGGTTTATTAAGACTCTTTTTCATCATTAGGCGAGTATTATCTACCCTAGAAGTTATGAACTCTTTTTTTTTGCATCACCATATGTGACTAACAAAGCTCCAACGAACGGAACCAAAGTGTGTTGCTATTCAATAAGAAAATGATATACCTGCGACTTTTCCAAAGGACGAATGAATCAGCTAGAAACAACAAAGTATCGGTTGCCGTGTCTGAATACAGAACGTAACAAAGTCCCGTCTTTCCTCATTGTCCATTCGCGTGGATCGATTCGCGAAGGTAACATTATTT